GAGCGAAAAAGAACGAGACCTTGGCTGTGCCCTAGCTGCGTGCTGGGGCAGGGGCAGGTGTTGGGGAGAAACCTGGTGCTGTCAAACTCAAGTGTTCCATACAACAGGTAGGCTACTACAGAATACGCGACTTTTTGCTACGACAGAATCGTGTCGTTGCTTTGCTTTACGGCGAACCAACCGCAGGGAGTGGAGCGTTTTTTTGCTAATAGGTTTTTGCCTCGCCCGCACAAACANGGAAGGAGCGCACGGCCGTGCTAGGGAGGGTACTTGGATTTTGGGCGCGGAAAAGCGATTTTTGAAGACCGGGGAAACACGATTCCTGTGCTCACCGTGGACGATATTGCGCTGAACCTTCGGCCGAACGATTCCTTGATGTAGTGTAAGTGTGCGTGCCTACAGTGTAGCATTTTTCATGTTTTTGTTGCCGTGCATCCCCGCTTAATAATAAATTGCTTGGATCACGCGATGAACCATTTGCTCAGCAATTCGTGAGCGATAGCTGACCTGTTGTCACAACCAGTCTCCGATTCACGCGCCGCATAGCAGATAATGTGTGTGTATGTTCAACTTTCTGGACGGATTCTCACCGGAGGTACCAATTGTTGTGGGGGCGCAGAACTACGGGCTGGATATAACTTCAAAGCTAATGCAACCGCTTGCAGGTTTGTTGTTGTTGTTGTTGTTTCTCACATTAGCTCTATAGTCCACAAAAAATGGGGAGCCCGTGGTCTCAAAACCCGGCACATACGACGCCGCGAGATGACAAAAAAAAAATAGGGTACAAACCACTCGGAAAAAGAAAAACAAAATGATAGAAAGAAAAGAACAGGTATCGCACCGACCGTTTGAGAAAGAGCCCTCGGAAACCGATCAAAATAAAACAAAAACAAAAATAAAGGAGGACGCTTCCCACACCCGCCCAAAGAAAAAATCAAAGGGTAACGTACCAGCACCAGGCACTACGCACCAGGGCATGGGAGTAACGGAGCAAACAGGGCAAAGAGGCGGCAGATGGGCAGACAGCCAGACGTACAAAAACAAAGGCAACAGCAAAGCGAGATCACGGTACCCAACACAGCAGAGTAGGCAGGGAGGTCATGAAAAAAAGAAACAAAGAAACACAGCACAGAGGCCGAAGGCAATACAAAGGACATACATAAAGGAGTATAGCATACAGCAGGGAGGGAAACAGGGCGCAACAGCACCTGCCGGGTACACAGTTCGCCACAAGTGCTGCCTCGGCCGCCCTACTCGCTTCTACAGCAGTGCCCGGTCGCCGTTTCGTCCCCCCCACCGCCGCTTCCCCGGCTCTCTTTCTCTTCGGTCCTGAGAAGGCCGTACTCTCTGCTTCTGCTTCCCTCGCGCGCTGGCGCTTCGCGGACGCTTCCGCCTCCTGCCTGTGCCATTTCCTCATGAACCATGCCGCCCCGTCCTCGACCTTGTTGTACCACACCTTCGGGTTCTTGGCGCTCTCTTTCCATTCACCCCCTTCCTTTTCGTCTCCCATGTTGAAGGCCACGAGGTCCTCTCCTAGACGACACACCCAGTCGCTCTCCTGCCCGTCCCGGTATCCCACGCCCCCCGCCATCGCTCCTAACAGCATGCGCTTGGGGAGGCGGCTGTCCTCCATGCGCATAACGAAGCCCGCGAAACACAGTCTCCGTTTGCGCACGGTGGCCTCGATGGTTTCCTCGCAGCCTGCCTGGATGAGGGCCTGGGCATAGGACAGGGGGCGGTCTGAGCGTTTCCGCTTGCTCCAGCCGATGCACCGTGGAAGGAACTGGCGGTGGGTCCCATTGAGCTTGTATTGGGCATTGATCCACCAAGCCGGGTTCGCGGACGAAAAAGAAACAAGCTGTCTTTAGGTCGATCTAGTCCTCCCAAAACCTTCCTCCCTAATCTTCTACTGGTCGGTGACCAACCTACCGTAGCCTGCACCTCTACGGCCATCTCGGCGGCCAACACCAACAGCGGTCAAGCCAACTGTTAACTGATAAACTCTTGGTTCCCAACGCCTAGAGCCCCGCCTCCCTCTCTCTTGCCAGCCTCTCCACAAATGCTGCACACAAACGTGTACAGATAAAATACCATGTAGTCTACAGATGAAAAAATCAGCTCCACACCCCACCCTAGCACGCAACGAAAATCACTTAATGGCCACGGATGAGGCAGACTCTGGGGACCTCTCTCTCTCTCTCTCTCTNTCTCTCTCTCTCTCTCTCTCTCTCTCTCTTTGACTACGCCACCACACAGCTCAAACAAACAACTACTCATGTGGCCACAACGCGCGACGCGCGCATGCGAGGTACATGCAAAGCCTAAACGGTTCCCACCAACACTCCAGACGCCGAATACTAACAACCTTCATCCGTGATCCAACAGACGCTCGCTGCGAATACTTGCTCTCAGGAACGCATGAGAGTAGCTGCGCTTGCACGCTTGTATCCACGCATCCAGCAACGAACTTTATGACAAACTTGGGGGAAATATCTGGAGTATGAACCTGTTCGCAAAACTCCCGGAGGGCGGGTGTCGCTTGCCTTACAAATAACGGCAACCTATGAACACCAAACCTCATTCACGCGGCGCACACGCTCAGCGAAGCATCCCACAGGACCCTTAAGCGAGATCGTCAACACCATCTCCGGTAAGGACTTTGAATACGGTAACGTGATGGAACCAACTGAAACTGCAATTTTCCAACGGTAACGGAAACAAGACAGGTCGCCGGAGAAGCCAGCCTGCACCATCGACCGCCAAGTCCCAGAGGTCCCACGGGAATACACGCCAGAACAAAAAAGAAACATCCAACCAGTAGAAACGGACATCAAACAGGACACAAAACGGTCAGACACGAAACACCGTTGCCAGCAAGACGTTCTGGTGGTGAAAGAGGTAGAAAACCCACTTGAGGCAGCAAAACGCTCAATTTCTCTCACCACCGCAATAGTACCGCGATAGGTTACCGGGACGTGCCTTGGTGTTCGAAACCCCACAGCTCGCACGACATGAAAGAAAACCTACGTCACGGCAGCGATGGACACATCATCCTCGACACTAATGGCCCCCCAACCACGTGCCTCTCGCACGTCGAACGACACACATCAAACACTACCGCAGGACATGCAACCGAAAATATGAATACCATGGGTTCAACTTCGACGTACCGTGGTTCGCTTTGTGTTTACTCTACATGTGCATCACCTTATGCAGACAAAGTGACAGATGCATCACCGACCGTGTTTGCGTTCGGAGCTAGGAAGAGCGTGTGTACAGGGGGAGTACGACTCGCCTCTGATCCTTCACAACTAACAAAAATCACCGACAAAACACGTGCCACGCAATACCGGACTGATGGCCCGAGCACCCCCCCCTACGGGCTACGCCCAAGTAAAACCTTAGCAAGCAGCACCGTCACACGAAACGTGGAACGTTGTTGTACACACACCTCGACGCTGCCTGTCTCATCAAATTCGGCCTAGGGTGGCCTAGGGGAGGAGCTGGATTTCTCTTCGATCTCAGCAGCAGGGTCAGGACAAAACCGGGCCCCTATTCCCGATAAACGAAGCCACTGGCCTCCTCGGCGCCAGGAAGTATGAATGCGTTGGGCTCCAACGCGGAACAGGGGGGCCAGGAGGAATACATAACCATGTTCCGCGAAATCTCCAAGGTTTCACACCTATTGCCCTCATCCCGGCTTCTTCTTGTGGGTAAACAACGCTTTCCATCACAAGCGGAAACAAAATAGGAAAGCGCGACGTTACAGCTCATTACTACATTCCGTGATAAAGCCACTATGGTTCCACACCTACTGCCACCATCCATCCTTCCGACTTGTTCTGCGGAAAAACAACGCCTTCTACCACAAGAGGCAACAAGCGCGACGTTGGAGATCATCACGCTCCCGCTGCTTTGAACTCGATGTCCGGGGTTGTTGGAGACGGAGGCGTGGCCGGGCCGGGGAGGTGGTAGGAGATCGCCGCAGCGGCCACGAGGAAAGGGCAGGCTACCACCAGGCACATGGACAGCCCGAAGTCATCCGACTGCAGATGGAGCCAGGCAGGAACACCGCCCGGGGCGAAAAGAAAACGCGAAGCGAGAGAGGGATTAAGGCGAGCGACAGTGGTGAGGTGCAAGAGTGGTTGCCGGGAAGGAGACATCGTACAGTACCCCTTCGGAACACAGCGGGGCACAGCAGCGTAAACGCTAAAAGATGCGTTTCGATACCGCCCCTCTATGTCGACGGCGGTACGACCCAGGAGATGAGCTGAGAGCCCGGTGGTATACTAAACCACACGCCTACGTGTGTTCCAAGGCACTAATGCGCTTCCGATATTAGCAGCGCCAGCTGCCAGTCCTACGATCAAGACAGCCGGTGAACTCACCGTGTAGTGGTATAGGAAGCCGCCCACGAGGACACCGATGAGCCTGCCCATGGCATTGGCCATGTAGTAGAACCCGAGGTCCATGGCGACCTTGTCCTGCAGGCGCGGGGAAACGGCCTCGGGTGGTCAAAACGATTCCCCAGGGTCCCTCCGCGACATGTGACCATTTCAACGGGCTTCGATGTTGAGCGATCCCACCCTTTGAGTGAGGTGTCGGTACGTAATCATATTCAACGGGGCTTCGATGTATTATGCAACCATTTTTAACGGGGCTTCAATGTTGCACGATCCCACCCTATCGAGCGGACAGTATGTAACCATATCAACGGAGCTTCGATGTTGCACGATCCCACCCTATTTGGTAGAGTGACAATCCGCTTTCGCGAGCAACCAAGTATGCAAAGGATCCCCCCCCCTACTCTACACGAATTTTGGGATTTCACAGCAAGCAGAACAAAGCATCTCTTCGTTGGCCACCTTGTTGGAGTAGCTGACGATCAGGTAGGAGTGCACCGACGAGTTGACGGCGAACAGGCCTGCAAAGACCAACATCCCGAAGACGAGGACGCAGCCAGTCGCCGGCTGGCTGTCCGCCACCTTGTGCGTGAAATACGACGCTCTGGGGACATAGGGTGAAAAAGGCGACAGCATGGACGGGATCATGCTTCGCTCAGTAACTGTCCGAGCATGTACGTAAGCAAGATCATCGATGCCGCCTGGTCAAGCTCACACGAAACATATACCCATTCTTGTTTTTTGGATCAAGCGGCGACCACCCGACACCGAGGAATGGACCCGAGTGACACCGTTCCTCCCCGGCAGGGTAGCGGACACACCAACAGATTGTCCTCTCGAAAGGTGAGTGGTAACCTCACTCGGGCCCCACCATGGGAGTGAGTCCCATATGGGGTTCTCGACACAACGAGGGTAACGTGGTACCGCATGACCTACGAAGGGTACAAAAGCTAACCGGGCACCAACAAAGTCGAGGTAAGATGGGAGGAGAGGGCTCACATCCCGGTGATGAGCGGTGCTAGAGAGCAATAGGCCGCCCACTTGTAAGCGGCCGCCCCGCTGGGTTGCCCGCCGGTGCCGTCGGCGTTCTTGTACAGCTTGGTCGACGCGGCCTGAAGGTTACCGTAGAAAACGATGTACCCTGAACCATGTTTCCGGGGGTCCCGTGTGATGAACGGAGAGCGCGAAGGAGGGTGGCGGGGGAAGGGTCAGATCCCGGAGAAAATAAGTCCCGGCAAAGCCTCGCGGATGACTACCACTGCTGTAGTTGTTGAAATGGCAATGGCATATTGGACATCGTGCCCATGGTCATACGCATAGCCTTGCTCCGACCAGAGTTAGTATCGGCCTTCGGAGCACGTAGATGCGCATGTCACACGGCCGAACAACGGCTTGATCAAGGCCCATCGTACAAAGAGACAGAGCTCTCACACCAAAAACAAAGTGAAACACAGACGCCACATCAGTGGAACGCATGCAAAATAATGACAGGTTAAACGCGGACAGCAGTACTGGAGCGCCTGGGTGAGTGCTCCACTGTTATGGTGATCGAGAGCCAGACAATCCCATGCAGGCCGACGTAAGAAAAACGGTACACACGAAAAAAGTCGATCGCTGTTTGTGCTTCTTTCTCACCTGCCATTATCAGCCCGACCAACTCGCGCTTCCAACCGAGCTCCGCCCTGAGGAACAGGGGCAGGCCGATCTCGAACCACACGTCCCGGGAACCGAAAAGGAAAAACCTCGCCGCGGACAGGACGTTCACGTTGCGTCCCTTTCGGAAGAGGCGGTTCCAGTCTGTCTTTCTCTCGTCAGATACGCCGAGCCCCCTTTTTTTTCGGGAGCGCGCG